AGTTATGAAGTAGCAACGAAAATAATTTTATGGTTGGGTCACAACATGAGGAACTGTATTTAAAGGGCCAGAAGGTTGAGAACCACTGAACTAGAAGGTGAGGTTGACATCAGGCCTCTGGAGCTCTTGTGTCCTCCTAGTCCTCGAGAGCCAGTCTGGAAGTGGGCAAGAGACACTTCCTCTGGGTGAAGTGTCATCAGGTGCCAGCCTTGGCATTGTGCACAGATGGCATGATTACAGAATGCAGAGCAGTCCCTAAAGGCAGGACTGCTCCAGCCTGTTGCGCCAACTCAGACTTGTCCTAGGGCTTTCCTGATGGCTCTGGAACTAGACCAAGGATCAGTTATCCAGACTTCTCTGGGCGCCTCGGTAACAGGTCTCAGACCCTCACATTGCCCCTTGTGCAGGGCCAAGAGCACGCCCACTCATCTTTACAACTCCCTGCTGACCTTGTCTTATCACAACATTCTCTTTGAAGGGCAGACCAGCAAGTCCCTTCTGTTGAGTATACTTTGTCCTTGGCATTGTGTTCCTAGAATTTACTGTCTTTTTAAAAAAATCTAGATTATAAGCAAGAAAGAAGTCCTTTTCCACATGTTTTCCCACCTCCCCACAACACTGGGATTGATTATGAAATAAGCCCAAGGTTCTACCTGTTTCAACTTCAATTGTTCTCTTTGGCCTTGGTTCCTAAGCACCCCTGCCTCCCCCACAATATCCTCCTCATTGCTGACATTACCCCTGTCCATCTCTCTGTCTTTGTGCCTCCTATTAAAATCGTCTCTCTCCTATGACACATGTTTCAGATGTCACCCCCTCCTGAAACTTAGAGCCTCTGTCCTCTACTCTCATTGAATTAAGTCAGGGCTGTCTTCACATCTGACTTGATTAAGAAGTATTTGTTTAATTGTGTTAATTGAAATAAACCATACTCAGAGGAAAAATATTGTATAATTCCACTTATATGAAGTATGTAGAATAGGCAAATACATAGAGACAGAAAGTAGAAAAGAGGTTACTGGGGTTTGGGGCATCATGAGAAATGAGGAGTTATCTTTTAATGGGTAGAATTTATACAGGGGGTGATGAAAAATTTTGGGTATAGATACTGGTGATGGGTACACAACATTGTAAATGTATTTAATGCCACTAAAAACATGAAAATGATAAATATTATGTATATTTTACTACAATAAAAAGGTAACCAAAAAAACCCCACAAAAGTTGTTTGTTTAAATAGCTTTTCCTTGTAGATTGCAAGTTTGTGGGAATGGTGAAAAAACATAACTTTTTCATCTTTACCCAGCACAATGCTTTGGATGAGATAGTCACTCATTATTGCTTCAAATCAGGGATAGAAAGAAAACAGAAATAAGGTACATTTTGACATATCTGCTGCCTCCAAAATGTATATATACAAACACACATAAAACTGCTATAAACAAAAGTGATTCTAATTTGGTTTGAGAATTTCCAACTCCTTTTGTCAGTGAAGACATACTTGAGGTGTCACTGCCCTAAAGACCCAGGTAGGAAGTCAGACCTCTGTGTGTTTGAAGAACTTCCTGCCAGTCCCCTTTCATGTGGAGTCATACATTTCTGCTCCCTGAGATCAGTGTGATCATTGGCAAAGTGTTGCGGACAACAGCACACAGCACATACAATATTTGTCCAGGCACATGCACTAATAGCTAATTAAAAAGAATTCTGCCTTGAGCTCGCAGTTGTTCCTTTCAGGGTAGTAATAGGAAGTAACTGCCCTATGCCTTCACTGGACACACCTCACGGTTCCCATTGGGTTTAGCCTTCTCTCCTCTGGCTCAGATCTGGTGGGGTCAAGGGTAGAAGAGCTAGTTCACAGCCAGTTAACAGCAATGAGGTACATGAAGAGAAGAGATGGTGAAATCAGGACAGGTGCCTCCTTTCTCTGCATTCCTGGGTATCCTAATGTGCTTTTGTTTTCATCTTACACTCTTCTTGGAAAGACAGTGTGAATGTTAAAGTTCAAGCCTCTAAGTGATGTGTGTCTTTAGTGGCTTCTCAGTTTCTCTTTTTTGTGCCTTTTGGCAGCTGCCCTCCTCTGACATTGCCAAATTGTTTAGAGGCCTCCAATCGGCTGAGGGCAGAATCTGAGGAGCACTAACACCTGCTGAGAACTGGATTGGTGTGTATTTCCCTTCCCATGGGATGTACATTTCAAGAAGCTCCGAGAAGGGGACATTGCACACCTGGAAGCTAGAGTTCATGTCTTGTTCCTCTTTGCATCCCAGCCCCCAACATGATGCCTGGGGCAAAGGAAATGATAATAAATGTTTCCATGAAAATGATTACTGGCAGAATTCCCATCTCTGTGACACCAGATTGGGTTCAATAGGTTCCTCTTGCAGATCAGACAGAACTTTGGGGGTCCTTCATATCTTATAGGAAGGGATATGAGACCCTCCTCTTTAAAGACATTTAAAAGTGTTTTCATAAATGTATATAAGTACATTTATACATTTCAAAGTGTATAATAAAAATACAAGTGGGTGATGGTGACGTGTAGGAAAAGGAAAAATCCCTTCATATTGGGAACATACTAGCAGTCACTTCACTGTTCTCAGTTCTTGAAATTAGGATCTAGGTCAGCCGTGGGCAAACTACGGCCCCGTGGGCCGGATCCGGCCCATTTGAAATGAATAAAACTAAAAAAAAAAAAAAAAAAAAAAAAAGACCGTACCCTTTTATATAATGATGTTTACTTTTAATTTATATTAGTTCACACAAACACTCCATTCATGCTTTTGTTCCGGCCCTCCGGTCCAGTTTAAGAACCCATTGTGGCCCTCGACTCAAAAAGTTTGCCCACCCCTGATCTAGGTCTTTCCCTCTTCAGATCATCAGGTAGCCATCATGTGCCAGACACTGTATCCCTAAGAGATGCACCTGTGACCAAGATAGAGATAGTCCCTACCACCATGGGGCTTAGATACTGTGGAGATAGAGTCATAAATTACATTCCTGGTGAGATATTTAATTCAACTCTGACCAAGAACAAAAGGGCCCTGTGCTCACCAAGAGAGGCCACAGTCAAGGGAGGCTTTTAGGAGGTGACAGTGGATGTGGTCATCAAAGGGTGGATAGGAGTTAACCAGCCACAGGGGGAGTGAGAGTGGTCTATTGAAGGAGGAACAGCTACATAAACCCTGAGATTAGAGGGAGCATCAGAAGTTGGAAAAACCAAAGTCCATGTGGCTGGTGTGCAGATAGGAGTGTGAATTGGACATGAGGTTGAGAGGTGCTAGAGCAGGGCTAGAGCACTCAGCTGTGCAGCCAAACCATACTCATTGTTGCTCAAATGGTGTCTGAACAGTTGTCTGAATGCATCTCAAGTAATCACTCTAACCAGCGGTTCTCAACCTGTGGGTCGCGACCCCTTTGGCGGTCGAGCGACCCTTTCACAGGGGTCGCCTAAGACCATCCTGCATATCAGATATTTACATTATGATTCCTAACAGTAGCAACATGACAGTTATGAAGTAGCAACGAAAATAATTTTATGGTTGGGTCACAACATGAGGAACTGTATTTAAAGGGCCAGCAGGTTGAGAACCACTGCAAACACTTTAAATTCTATAGTGGAGTGAATATATAATCAAGGAACATTTTTTTTTCATTTTTGAACTTGTTTGCTTACTTGATACAGGGATAGAAGTTTCAGGAAAAGTGGATGAAGCAGTATTGGGTGGGGAGTGGGGAAGAAGCATTCAAAGTTAACATTACCATAATTTCAGAACACTGTAGTGAATGCCTTGGAAAGCATAGTCTTCTGAGACTCTCAACTATGAATATGTGAGAGGTAGGGAGGTCATCAGTGCAGTCATAAATGAATATTCAAATTGAATCTACTTGTAGATTAGTTCAGGATTAATCTGCATATTCCCATTAACCAAGGGAAATATTGCTACACTTAAAATTGGCAGTCACTAGTTATATTTAAGCTTGGATTTCAAAACCACCCCTGACTATTTTGGCAGGACATATCTTGGATTGTTGTTTTTAAGCAATCCATATGCAGACTAATTTTTTTTTTAAATTTAAGCTGCCTGGAGGGAGCCTTCATCTTTGGTTACTTCTTATATATAAAGTAGAGGGCCAGTGCATGAATGCGTGCATGGGTGGGGTCCCTCGGGGTGACCTGTGGGGATTGGGCCCCAGCTTGCACCCCCAGCCTCGCAGCCCCACAGCCCCGCCTGGCACCCCACCGTGGCCTGGCACCACCCCCTCACCTGCTCCAACATCCCACCTGCGGGGTGATCGATCAGGGCGGTGGGGGGGGGGGGGCAAGACCCCCCTCCCCCCCAGCTTGGCTCCCTCAGTCCCTGGGAGCCGGGTGGTGGTCCCACCCCCCGCCGTTGGTCACTGTCTGCAGGGCGATCGGTGGGGCCATCAGGCCCCCTCTCACACCTGCCTTGGCCTGGCACCGCCTGCTCACCTGCTCCATCATCCCACCGTGGTCCTGCTCTAGTCAGGGCCCATTGGGACCCGTAGTGCCTCCACTGCCTTCCGACGCCCACCCCACCTGGTGGTCAGCACACGTCATAGTAAGCGGTCAAACTCCTGATCAAACAATTTGCACATTAGGCTTTTATATATATAGATATCATGCTAGACAGTTTGGGTTTCAGGAAGTATCTTTTTCAATTTTAAGAACGGTACTGTAAACAGTCTATTTATTCTTTTGGTTAAAGAGGATAGTTTCTCTGGACCTCTAATATTTGCCAATCTCTAAGGAAAGGCAGGGTGCCTGACTTAGTCATCCAGACTCTGCCAATGAGATGACCAATGCCTTTGAGGAACAAGAGTGTATAAACTGTTGACTCTAAGTTTGGGCCTCTCTCACCCCATGGTGTGTAGTGATAGTCTGGATGTTCCCATCTTACTTAGGGGATTCCACATGGTCCTCAATCTTGACTATTTACAGCTTTTCCTCCTCTCTCCTCCTGCCTCTGGGTTATTAGGTTCCTGCAAGTTCCCTGCAAACTGCCCAAGACTTCAAGTCAGAGATTGTGGTGATGAGTAGCCTGCGGGTCATTCTTCAAGCCTCTTTATGCAAATCGCTGTGGAGAAGATGCCAGATTCTGAGATCCATGCCAGTGAGGCCCTGCAGCCTCTACACCTGCAGTTACAAAACCCGGAACCGAGCCCGTGAGTACCCTGCTGCCTTAAGTAGAGCAGGATGCTTGTTTCATAACAGTCATGCATGTTAAAGATTTGTGGATAGGATGTCAGTGGCATTCCAGAGTGGGTGTATATGCCTTAAGAACTTTGAGAATTAATTACTTGTTTCTCTATCGGTCCTCTAAAAGGATTGTGGAAAGTTCTTTTTGCCCCAGTTTTACTGAGATATAATTGACACATAACATGTATAAGTCTAAGGTGTACCACATGGTGATTTGATACACATGTATATTGCAAATGATTACCAGTATATATTACTGTATATTGCAGTAAGGTTTGGAAAGTCCTTTCCTTGACCAGTTTGAACATGTTAAAATTATGTCCTACAGAAATGGGACAAGGGTGAGATCCAGTTTCAAATAATTTGAAACCTGTTCTTTATTGTTCCTTGTTAGCAATTGTCTTTTTAAAAATATATATATTTTTATTGATTTCAGGGAGGAAGGAAGAGGGAGGGAGGGAGGGAGGGAGAGAGAGAGAGAGAGAGAGAGAGAGAGAGAGAGAGAAACAATGATGAGAGAGAATCATTGATCGGCTGCCTCCTGCATGCCCCTGTGCCATTGATTGGAATCGAACCCAGGACCCTTTAGTCTGCAGGCCGACGCTCTATCCACTGAGCCAAACTGACTAGGGAAGCTATTGCTTTTTTTTATTAAGGTTGGTCCACAGATTGTGAATGATTTCTGTGGATCTGAACATTCTAGAAGATGCATGTTAATGATTGCCAGCAGTTCAAAACAGTAGCATCACACCCTGGAATATTCTTTCCTGAGTTACACATTGTGGTTGCTTCTAGCAGACCAGCTTGTTGAGTGTATGCTCTGCTGTAAACATAGCAGATCAAGTGAGGCAGCAGATGGTCTCTGTTGAAACCTCTCACATCTAATCCCCCTGCCAAAAGACCAGTTACCATCTACCTCTCTATGGGGCAGGGATTCTCCACTGCAGCACCACTGACATGGGGGTGGGTCATTCTGTGTTGTCAGGGGCTGTCCTGTGCACTGTAAGATGTCGGATGGCATCCTTGGCCTCTACCCACTAGATGACTGCAATATCCCTGCCCAGTTGCAACAACCAAAAATGTCTACACATTACCAAATGAGCTCTGAGGGACAAAATTGCCTCTGGTTAAGAAATGATAGGAGAGGATAAACTGTGTATTTGTGGAGAGATGAGTTTGAGTTTGTAGAGAAATTAAATGGATAAATATATCATTGGAGAGGTATTTTTCATATTTTCCATTAGTTTAAAGGGGTTGACTCAGAGTTTCCAAATATTGGCTTGCTTCTAGGTCAAGGTTTCTCTATTTTTTCTCTTTGGGTTTAGTCTCTTTTGATCCCATTTGCACATAATAAAAGCATAGGTAAGAGAAATGCTTGTAAAATAGGCATGATAATCTAGCTAAAGCCAAGGACTTGAAACTGCTCCATAAATATATTTTTATTGAGAGTGTATTTTATTTCCTCTCACATTGACCGTGTTCTCATTAAAATGAACTGCCCAGTGTTATAATACATTTCTGGTTGCTGGGTGTGGCTTCCTACCACCAAGCCCACATCCTACCCAGGCTGGCTTATTCTCAATATTGGCACTTTGAGGCTTAAAGTGGAAAAAATATTTATCTAGGTAATAAAGTTTTACTTTTTTAACAGAAAAGTATAAGTCCCTAACACTACCTAGTAGTTAAATAAAGTGAACCACAAAAATGAGCTTTGTAGGCAATTCCTTATTTTCTAATAGTCCCACCTAAAAATGAACAAATAGTATGTCAATTGCATCTCAATAAAACTGGGGGAAGTAAATTTTGTTCATTTGTGTAATTCTACTAATATAGAAAATATAGGTGAAATATAGTATATAGGTGAAATAAATTTTACTAACATTTTATTTAACATAATAGATCCAAAATATCACTTTAAAGTAAGATGAATATAAGGATTATAAATGAAATGTTTTACTTTCTTTGTTTTATACTAAGTCTTCAAGGTTCCTCAGTGTTTTACATTTATAGCACATTTCAATTTCAACTAGTCACACTGGGTGTGTGGGTACCATGTTAGAGAGTGCAGGTTGCCTAGGAGTAACAGTAGATGAGAGGATGCTTAATGTAATGTGCAGCTGTCAGGAAAGGGGTTTGAACTGACCTTGAGAGCCAGTAGGATTTTCACAGATGGGAAAAAAACAGGCAGATGTGATCATGTGAATGCAGGAGGTGTTCTGGGTACACTTGCTTGCCTGGTTGGAGAGACTATGAGTGAGAGGTAAGGTTAGAGAGCCTTAGTATCAACTTGTTTGGTTTTCTCTATCAGTAAGGTAAGCATTAAGTTCCTCCTTTGTGCCTGGTACCAAGTTCAGCCCTGGGCCTGTAGCAAAAGTACAGGATTCAGGCCCTAGGGCTTAGAGTTGACACAGGCCCCTTGAGCAGATAAAGTAAAGGCACATTGCATGAAACATGGTTAAGTGCTAAATGGTGTGAGGGTGAATGCAGTGTGAGTTCAGCAGAAGGAAAGGTCAGGGTGGTTGGAGAAAATGTCAAGACTGGAGTTTGGGAAGATGGAGTAGAGGTGAGAGAGGAGGCAAAGCAACCAAGAAGCATGGTATGAAGTCTGGGCTATAGAGACCAGAACTAGGCTGGTGGTCATGGGTGAGACAAGAAAGAGATAAACCTAAAATATTTTTAAAGAAAAAATAATGTGGTAAGTAGGGTAATCTATATATATATACTAGAGGCCCAGTGCACTACATTCGTGCACTGGGGGGGGGGGGACGGTCCCTCAGCCCGGCCTGCACCCCCTGGCAGTCCAGAACCCCTCGCTCCTTACCGCCTGCCTGCTTGCTGCTCCTTACTGCTCGCCTTGCTGCTCCTTAGCTCTGTTGTGGAGGCGGGAGAGCTCCCGCCACTACCGCTGTGCTTGCCAGCTGTGAGCCCGGCTTCTGGCTGAGCGGCACTCCCCCTGTGGGCGTGCACTGAGCGTCTGCCCCCTGGTGGTCAGTGCACATCATAGCGACCAGTTATTCTGGTTGTCCCGCCGTAATGGTCACTTAGGCTTTTAAAGCCTAATATGCAAATTGTCCCTGTGGGAGTTCACCAGGAGACTGATCACTCGCTGTGATGTGCGCTGACCACCAAGGGTGGCGCAGAATGAAGGAAGGCCACGTCCGGCAGCCGGCAGCCAGAAGGAAGGCCCTGGCTGGCAGCTGGAAGGACCTGATCGTCCCTGATCGCCAGCCAGGCCTAGGGATCCTACCTGTGCATGAATTTCATGCACCGGGCCTCTAGTGTGAAAGAAAGATAAAAAGAAAATGAGCCCTCCCCAGTTATGTTCTTTATTATATTCCTTCATTCCACAACTGATTGAAAGCCAGCTCAGTTCTCATTTGCAGAGCAGCAGGGGAGGCACATTGTATGTGTAGGGGAGGACAGATTATTTTCATTCTACCCTTCTGAATTATTGCCCCCCCCCAAATAAAGGAGAGACTAATCAAAGGAAAACAAACAGAATTTTAATAACACGGATGCCAGGCCAAAAAAGTGGGGGGGGGGAAGGGGTTTGGGGAACAAGTTAACATATAATATGGATTTATAAAAAAACATTAATTGTCTTATACATTTTGATAAGTGGCAGCACCAGCTGCATTTGTGACACAGTTTGGCTTCATCTGGAAGGTCATCTGGAAGGACGTTTGGCTGTCCAGTCTAATTAGCATATTATGCTTTTATTATTATAGATGTCCCCTTGCTGTAGTTGTCTCTTCATATACTGCTATGGATAAGCCCCTGTAGTGCCCCTCAGCAGCTGAGCTACTGAGTAGTTATCAATGAGAATAAATGAGATATCCTGACTCAGATTATATCACTCATATCCAAACAACCTATAAAAACAACTTCATTCTTAGATCAAAATAATTTCACTCTTAAAAACAACATTAATTTTTGTCATAAGTAGATTTTAAATCATATAAAACTGATACACAATAAGTGTGAATTCTCAAGTTCCCAGCCACAAGTCTGAATATCTCAGAGGTGTTTCTAGAAGTTTAAAAACATCACACAATCAAATACAGTTGTTTATTCCAACAATAGCAGTTCAATACTAAATTTAAAAGGCATATACCAGATAAGGCACTACAAGACAATAAAAAAAGAGGAAGATACGGTTCCTGTCTGCAAGGAATTTGCATTCTAATCCAATTATAATATGAGTATATTATACCAATTCATATACATTTTCCATTTTATATTTCTGAAACAGAAAGTTCTTGTTCTTCACAAGTTATTTTATATTAATGGAGAAACCCAAAATATTGATTTCAGACCTCTCTACAGGCGAGAGTACTGCATTATATGAAAAAATAGAAAGAGAGAGAGAGAGAGAGAGAGAGAGAGAGAGAGAGAGAGAGAGAGAGAGAGAGGAAGGATACTTTGAGTTTGTCTTTGCTTTTAGCTCCAAGATTTCTCTACTTTAGCCTTGTTGAAATCCAGGGTCAGATCATCTATGCATTGTTTAGCTGCATCCTTGGCCTCACCCACTAGATGTCAGTAGCACCCTCCTCCAGTTATAACAATGAAAAATGTCTCTAGACATTGCCAAATATCTCCTGGGGGGCAGAATCCCTCTGTTGAGAATGACTGGCCTAGAAACTGCCAGGAGAGCTTTATGTTTGTACTGCTGGGGTACTTTTCCCAAAAAGAAAAGGTTAAGATCTTGCACTTCCAGCTTTGGGCAGCTACCTCAGAAAGAAGAATGTTTCCTATGTAAGAGTGAATCAGAGGCAAATTTCTGTTTTTTGTTTTTGTTTGTTTTTTTTTAATGAAAAGAAGGGTGTCAGGGACCCTGCCATGCACAAGGATATTTGACTGTATAGCAGCTGCCTTGTCAAATCCTTAGACTCATTCATAGCAGTGAGGTGAGGTGCAGAGGGTCATTAGTAATGATTTCCTGTTGGTCTTGGTTTTACCCACGTATGGTGCTTCTAAAGGGCAGAGAACTGTAACACCCCAAATTCTACATGTGGGTTCAATCCATCATGCATGGATGTCTCAGAAGGTCTGTCTGTGTTATCAGGAAGTCTGTGGAGATTTCAGGGACTTGCCACAAAGACTGTTCCAAACTAAAGAGGTTCATTTGCCTATATGCATCAAAGCCCAATAAAACACGAGCAGGAGTATGCAGCAAAGAAAGTAAAGGTTTATTTAAGAAAGTGGCACCAAGCCTGGAGACACAGGTGAGCTAATGCTCAAAGACCAGGCTCCCCAATGGCCTGTATGAGGGCAGATTATATACGGGAACAATTATTAATCATTGTGACTAAGGGAGTTGAGGTCATGGGATCTACTGATTATTTGGGGCCAGGATAGGAAGTAGTGGTTATTGATGTCAGCTGTGGTGTCGTTCTGTCCAGTCTTGTGAGGGTAAAGATGTTATGCTTTCATGGGCCTGGGACTGACACACAACTGAGGCCAAGATGCCATGTTCAGTTTGAAACTGTTCCCTTGATCAACAGACCTGAGGTTTTGTTCCTAAGACCTTATGATGCTAACCAGAACCTGAGGTCCTAAGGACTTTGTGATTAAGGGAGTGGACATGCAGTATGTCGTGATGCTATTGACTGGACAAAGCTAGCTTGAATTAAGGGGGAAAGTCATATTAAAGAAATGAAGTTCCTGTGCAATTACAAGACCTGGTTCTTGAATTTTTGGTAGAAAAATCAACATTAGTGATGTTATCAGTGCGCATGTGGGACAAAATGTGTCTGTACACTTAATATTATAAACAGAACTCCAAGAACCTTCACAATGGTAATATTCTACCCAGGTTTTACAGAATGGCCTCGTAATCTTCAAAATATTGCATACATAAGAGGTGAAGTCAGCATACACACTTAAATAGGACCATATAATTCCTCCAATGGGATTTATCTCTCTCTGGTTCTCTTTGGTCTGACATACTTCTCTGCTGTGATTCAAGAAGTATTTGAGTCTGTCCTTAAGGCCTTAAGTATCTCTATTTCCCCCACTTTCCTTTCTTCTGAATGATATGACAGTGTAGGGGAAGAAAAATAATTTTTGCTCTGTACTTCTAGGTTCTGGACTGAGACCCAACCCCCTCCAATAATAAAAGACAGATTAACAGGAGAAAAAAAAAAACAAACAAAAGTTTAATAACATGGATACCTCCTGTATACATGGGAGAGACTCAAGAAAACTGAATAACTCCCCCAAAAGGCCCAAGCCACCACCTTAAATACAGTCTTCAGCGAAAGACAAAAGATGTTGGGGCAGGACTCTAGTGTAGGAGGTTATCAGGAAAAGCACAGTAAACAAGAGTAAGGTTGTTATACAGATTTAAGTCAGTGCCTTCTCCATTGATCAAAGTCTATGGATTTAGTCTTCTTCCTGGTATAGAGAGGGCTATACCCTTACAAATGGAGATTCCCTTATAAATATAAATGTCTCTTACAAGAGGATAACTTCTACTGCATTTTCATACCTTCTCATGTATCAGTTGTTTCTTTAAAAAATTCAGCCTAAAATAATTCTTGTGCCAGAGATATTGGGGTGACTCACTCTGCTCTCCATCAACAGGGCCCCTAAACCCTGAACATCTTATAGGTCTCAAACTAACAAGAAATGACTCCTTTTCTTCTCACAATCATCAGTATCTTTCTTAATTTTTCCAAAACCCTAGAGAGCAGTGATGGCGAACCTTTTGAGCTCGGCGTGTCAGCATTTTGAAAAGCCCTAACTTAACTCTGGTGCCGTGTCACATATAGAATTTTTTTGATCTTTGCAACCATAGTAAAACAAAGACTTATATTTTTGATATTTATTTTATATATTTAAATGCCACTTAACAAAGAAAAATCAACCAAAAAAATGAGTTCGCGTGTCACCTCTGACACGCATGTCATAGGTTCGCCATTACTGCCTAGAGTGTGCTCTAATGTCAACTGGCAGTCTACAATATTACATTGTGTGTAAGGAATCCAGAAATCTTCAAAACAGCAAGCAAAATTACAGGATGCATGCAATGCAAGCCTTTATTTCTCCTAGCCAACCAATTAAAACCTTAATGGTTGATTGAACATTTGCTTTCCAAAAATTACTTCTCCTCTTTCCCCATTTACTTTGTTGAAAATATGTGCATTATTGAAAATGTCATTAATATGTTCCTGTGTTTAAAACTAGTTTAGCAGTCTGTTCTCTGTATCTATGAGCCTGTTTCTATTTTGTGAGAAAAAAGAAAACACACCAAAAAACTCATAGACATAGACAACAATATGGTGATTACCAGAGGGAAAAGGGTGTGGGGGGGGGTAGAAGAGGGTAAAGGGGGGATAAAAATGGTGATAGTGATGAAAGGAGACTTGACTTTGGGTAGTGAACACATAATACAATATACAGATAATCTATATTATAAAAGGCCAGTGGCCGTAACACCGTAATGCCGTAACGACCAAACAACCAGTCACCAGGAGGTGCATTGATGGGTCTCGCGGCGCTACGGGTCTGGGGTCCCACTGGTGCGGCGGGTCTGGGGTCTTTCACGATTTCGTGCACTGGGCCTCTAGTGTACTATAAAATTGTACACCTGAAACCTATATAATTTTACTAATCAATGTCACCCCAATAAATTCAATAAAAATTTTAAAATACAAGTAAACTGGGCATATCCCTAAAAAAACCAGTTTAGCAGGTGGAGCCCAGGAAATTATCAATTCTAATCTCTATGCATTTTTCCTGTTATCATAAGACTATGCTGCATTTGGTTTAAGTGAAATTAGAAGGTGGACTGAGAGGCTGCAGTTTGACAAGACATCAGAGTCTGCTCCTTTGCAAAGGGCTCTCTGACCTGCCCATGTCCATGTCCTCTGCTTTAGTCAGTCCATGAAGCCCCTAAGTGGCTAAGTCCTGAGACTTCTAGTTTCCATTAGCCTCAACACGCTCTCCACAAATAAAACCGCCTGATGTGTGATCCCAGATAAGGGACATCCTGATGGCAGTCCTGATGTGCTTTCTCCTAGTGCACCCACTCTGGGAAAGAATGGACCTGGTCCCAGGGGGCGAGCGCCAGTCGCCCATCAATATCCGGTGGAGGGACAGTGTCTACGATCCTGACTTAAAACCGCTCACCATCTCTTATGACCCTGCCACCTGCCTACACCTCTGGAATAATGGATACTCTTTCCTTGTGGAATTTGAAGATTCTACTGATAAATCAGGTGAGAGCCAGACTGATAGTCTCATCTGGAGTTAAAGGCACAGTTTCATATGGGCACAGGTTATATCACACTGTCTCCATGGAAGCACACCTCTTTTGTTAGCAATGATGGGACACATTGGACTTACTTTTTCAATGTAAGTTTTTATGCATATTTTCTTAGTATAGGTAGTATTTTTATTGCTAAATAAGCATATTTCTAAGTATAGATTTATAATTGATATAGAAGATAGGGTGTGAAATGAAAAACTGTGTCCAGCCAGAACCGGTTTGGCTCAGTGGATAGAGCTTCGGCCTGCGGACTCAAGGGTCCCAGGTTCGATTCTGGTCAAGGGCATGTACCTTGGTTGCGGGCACATCCCCAGTGGGGGGCGTGCAGGAGGCAGCTGATCGATGTCTCTTTCTCATCGATGTTTCTAACTCTCTATCCCTCTCCCTTCCTCTCTGTAGAAAATCAATTAAAAAAAAAACTGTGTCCAAAATTTATTTTGTAGGGTTTATGAATATGTACTAATTTTCTCTGCTTGTTGACTTTACAAGACACTTTTATGTTAAATAGTAACACTGTTTAATTAGATTTAACTGATCAGATTTCAATGCCTTTGGAATGGTGAAAAGAATATTCATGTGTGCATGAGGTTTTAGTCTTAACAACTAGCTAAAGCTAGTAATATATTAGAAAAATGGAAACTCGCATTCTGTTAATTTTGTTAGTTAAGCAGTGTTACCTAGTTTAAAATAAACACACTTTTATTTTTAATGTGTTTTTATTGATTTTTTTAGAGAGAGAGAGGAGAAGGGAGAGGAAAGAGAGATAGAAACATCAATGAGAGAAACATCCATCAACTGCCTCCTGCATGCCCCCTACTAGGATTGAGCCCGTAACCTGGGCCTGTGCCCTGACCGGAAATTGAACCAGTGACCTCTTGGTTCATGGGTCAACACTCAACCACTAAGCCACACCGGCCAGGCAAGAAACACAATTTTAACAGATTTTAAAATTCACACATTATATTGCTTTTGAATATTTTTTTTCTCTTAGTCAGATATAAATTAATCTGAATGATTTCAAAGTTTACCTGAAACTTTAGAGTGTGATGAATTCTACACAGGTTTTTCCTTTCCTTTCCCAAGCCAAATTTGATGTTATCAAATAGTCCTAATTTCATTGAAATAATTATTATTTGAAATAGTGTGTCTTTTTAAAGAGAGGTTATCAACCTGTGCCAATTTTGCCACCTCTTTTTTCCCAGGACTGGGGACATTTGGCAATGCCTGTAGGCATTTGTCATCACAACTGGAGGGTAGTGGTGTGACTGACATCTAGTGGGTCGAGGCCAGGAATGCTGCTAAACATCCTACAATAGGCAGGACAGCGTTCATGAAGAGTTATCCAGCTTCAAATATCAATAGAGCTGAGATAGAGAAATCCTGATTTAAAGGAAATTAATCTCCTCTTCTGAATATGAAGAAATGAGTCTGTGAAAGTTCATAAATCAAGTAAAAGTATGGGTGTTCACTCCTGTGTTTATCCTGACTCTAGGATTCTCAACCGTATCTTGGTTTTCCTTGCATTTTCCTAGTGATGCTCTGATACCTAGACATGGCCCTCTGACCAACTGCAAACAGACTGATCCTGCAATGGGGTTCATCTCTCCTTAAGGGCTAAGGTGTCTCTATGTTGTACCCCATTTTTTTCTTTCTCCTCCATGATATTACATGATCCCCAAACCCTAAACATCTTATTTACATTTCTCAAGCTAGAAACTACTCCTTTTCTCCAGATTCATCAGTGTCTTTCTTCTTCTATTTTTTAAACCCTAGAGTATGCCCCCATCTCAACTGGAAAACTATATTTTATATAAGGATTCCAGAAATCCTTAAAACAGGAAGCTAAACCATCTTGCACTATGGTGGGCTCTACTTGTCTACCTTAGAGCTCTACCATTACTCCTGCCAGAGCTAGAGTAATGGACAGACCCAATCCACAGAACACCAGCTCTCATATGTTCACTCTGGATGCATAGCAATCCCCTCAATTAATTAGTATCAGCCCCAGCTGGTCCTTAGAAACCTTCTCTTCTGACAGTTATTGGTGGGGTGCTCTCCATGTCCCCATCTGTCACTGGTGGAAGTGGGCTTCTTGGGATGCTGCAAGAATAAGAATTTCCGCGCCCTAACTGGTTTGGCTCAGTGGATACAGCATCGGCCTGCAGACTGAAGGGTCTCAGGTTCGATTCCAGTCAAGGGCATGTACCTTGGCTGCGGGCACATCCCCAGTAGGGGGTGTGCAGGAGGCAGCTGACCGATGTTTCTCTCTCATTGATGTTTCTAATTCTCTATCCATCTTCCTTCCTCTCTGAAAAAAATCAATAAAATATATTTTAAAAAAAGAATAAGAATTTCCTGAGGCTCCCATGGGAGGATGAGGTATTGTGGAAAGCTTTATTGATGAGGTAATATTAAGGGGCTTTCTTTCCAAGGTCCCACTTCCCTCTATCTTGCCATGGAAAAAGTCCCATTTTATCTTCAGCAGGGCTAAGATCAAAACCATTACTTAGAGTTTCTGCTCCATATTTGCACAGTTCAGTCCAGCATCTGGCTAGCTTAGTTTGTGTTCCCAGCTGTGGTCCAGTGCATGTGGAGGCCATATGGCCATGGGCCATGCAGCTTCTAGGGCCACATGACTCTGGAGGCACATGGCCCATGCGGGTCATGGAGCAAATGAGAAACAGTAAGTAGTACAGTGGGAAACAGGAGTTCAAGTAGCAAGAGGAACAAGAGAGAATTCTTTGGGGAATTTTACCCTTCCAAGATTTTTCAGGCTTGTAGTGGATCCACCCCTAGCCTATTATATTTGTTCCCAGATTAGACTGACAGACAAGCACCTTCCCTACATCACCCTCACTTTACTTGCATGCACCCATCTTCCCCTTTGTTGGACCCCTTCTTCCAGTGATTTTCAGGAAATGGAATGGTGGTTCCCTGGGAAGAGTAAAATTGCAGCTTTCTGGTGAAGCTGCCCAAATGACCATGCTTACAATGTTTGCCCTTCCCTTTGCTCCTTTCCTATTATTACTATTAATAAACTAGCTAGTTAAAATGGTAACATGAGGATTCTAAATAGTGATCAACCTTCTAATAACTTTGATAGTTTAGGGACTTGCCAATATTTTATTGCTTTATTGAGCTAAAAATCTTAGGAAGTTGTTTAATGGGTTTCCTAATCAAGTGAGTCAATCCCAAGATCGTTCAAGGCAAATAGTTTTTTATTTTATTTTTAAAAATATGTTTTTGTTGATTTCAGAGAGAGGAAGGGAGAGGGAGAGAGTTAGAAACATCAATGATGAGAGAGAATAATTGATCAGTTGCCTTCTGCATGCCCCCTACTGGGGATAGAGCCTGCAACCTGGGCATGTGCCCTGACTGGGAATCGAACCTTGACCTCCTGGTTCAAGGGCCAACGTTCAACCACTGAGCCACACTGGCTGGGCGTTTTGTTTTAATTTTCAGTCATGCTCTTCTCATTTGAACAACAGACCCAAGAATTTTCATCCACCTATTTGCAAGGGCAATCTTATATGAAAAAAAAAAAACACATACATTTTCCTCATAATAGTTCCCTAGATACTTCCCAACACAGCAAGCTGAATTATTCCTTAATCTTACCTCCCCTAGGTGAGTCAGTTTCACACTCTTTTTACAAAATGCAAGAAAGTTTGTAAGGAGGTTGCTAATTTTCCACTTGTTTTGTCAGGAAGGACTAAAATAGGTAATCCCTTTTCATTGTGTTTTAATAATTATTTTCTTTCAGATATCATTAATCTTTAATAAGTACCTAACTCTATCTCTTTTTCCACATTTCAGTGACTACCTCCTATCTCCTGCTTATTCTGCACTGCTATTTCTCCATGCTGTTTCAAAATAATAACATTCAAAGAGGAAGAAAGAATGAATGATCATAAAAAATAAAGAAAATTAAAAGAAAGCAAAGACATCCTAGAAAGGAAGGAAGGCATGAAACAACTCTAATTCTAGAAAAGAAAGGATCTAATAAATACTAATGTCTATAAATTTCCCAGAAAATAACGTAGGAAATGCTGCTACAGTGTGCTTTACAAGGAAATGAGGATAAAGTGTGCAAGGGAACAAGCTGGGGAAGGTATGTGACAAAAACAAAATATACCAAACCTTATGGGATGCAGCAAGAGCAGTGCTTAGGGAGAAATTTATAAATGAAAATGCCTGTACTGGAGAAGAACTTTCTCAAATTAATAACCTAGTCTTCTACCTTAAGAAACTAGAAAGAGAAGAGCAAACTAAACCTAAATCAAACCAAAAGAAGGTCATAATAAAGAGCAGAAATCAGAAGTTGGTTTTTTTTTTTGGAAAGTTCAACAAAATTGACAAATGTTTGGCTAGTTAGACCAATGGGGAAAAATAAGAGAAGACTCAAATTACTAAACTCAGGAATGAAAGAGGGGATATCACATCATGATCAGCCTTACAGAAATTAAAAGGATAAGAGAAGGGTTGTGAGCATTTCATACCACTGCCCTCTGCTGAGTACTGTGTTGTTTGGCTCCCTTGAATAGAATGCAGTTATTGATTTTAATGAGTGCATATGAAGGATGCAAAACATTGTGGGAAAGGGCACTGAATTATATCTAGGCTGAGTCCTATAAATGATTCCTATAAATTATCACCTTCACTGAGATTACTCTCATCAGCAATATCAGGCATTATATTGTTCTCCTAAGGATGCTTCCTGATCCATTTGGCTTCACTTACTTTACACTTTTAGGAGCATCACCCATGAATCTACTAAGAATGCTTATACAAACATTTTAAGTTCTTCCGTATTTTTGGTCCTATATCTACTTTTTTGGAAAAAACAAAATAATAGTTTTTAGTAAATTTACAGAGCAGTGCAGCCATCATTACAATCCCCATTTAGAGCATTTCCATCACCCCAAAAAGTTTCATGCCCATTCCTGTGTTTTATTTTATTTGTATGGGACTTGTGTGTTATCTTCCCCTTCACCATCCTTTTCTCTGTTAGCTCCCTCACCTCTACTTTGGGGAAGAAGGGGCAGGAAGAGATTAACCAAAGAAGTTTTATGCATATATGTATAACCCATGGACACAGACAATAGTATGGTAGTCCTTGGAGGGTCAGGGTAGAGAGGGTCAATGGGGGGGTGGTAAGGGGATATCTGTAATACTTTAAACAATAAAGATAAGTTTTCTAAAAAGCAAAAGAAGGGAGTGAACATTACATAGGCGGTTTACCTGACACTATGCTAGGTGTTTTATATTTGTTATCTAATTTTTACATGTTTAATCTCTTCTCATCTTTAGAGCACAGAAAGAACAAAATATCAACAACCTCAAATAAATAAGTATATAAGTATTTGATATATCTTATGACTGCTCTGCTTTCTAATTCACTAACTTCTGTGTCCATTTTCTGTCCCATTTCTTGCCGACTGTACTTGCCCTTCTCATCCACACATCTGCCCTGCCTGGCTTCACCATTTTCCTTGCTCTTGTTGAGGTCACCAGTGATGTTTCAACTAACAAACGCTTTCCAGTCTATTTTTTTAGTTCCTGTTTTCATTGAGGATCTCCTAAGTGTCAGGCACTGTGCCAGGTGCTCATAATAGAAAGAGGAAGAGGGGAAGGTTTTGCCTTTAAGGAGCTATAGTGTGGTAGGAAGACAGAACTGTGGGACCATCTAAAGGGGGCCACCATTTCTCCTGCCCAGCCTACTGTCACCCAGTGGAAGCACGTGCCCAACATGGTCAGGACGTCTCATTTTCAAGTTAAGTTGGAAGCGTGGATTTTTATGTGAAATCATCCAGATTTAAATGTTGGCAACGAATGTAAAAATGTCTTTAGTATTATGTGGGTGAATCCAAACACACCTGAAGACCTGTTCTGCCCTTCTCACTTGAAGCCACCCACTGGTGACATCTCCTCTCTGCCTTGCTCATTGTCTTTGGAGAAGACACACATCGTAAGTGTCCAGGAAATTTTGCCACTGTGTTTCTGGGGATAGGAGAGAAAAGCTTACAGTCTCATCTGCCCTGGTCACTAAACTTGGGACCCGAACTTCAATTGAATTAAACAGATTAGATTAATTATTTGCCAAAGTCATGCTCACAATATGGAGCTGGCATAGAAAAATAAGAATTTTGGGGAGTCGTTTTATTTTTATATCAGTACACTTTAGTACCATCCTCCTATTAATTTAGTGAATCATGTGGTATTATTCTCTGCACCTTCCCTGCACCCAAAGAAAAGTAGTCATTGGTGTCTTTGCTCATTTCTTACAAAACTTATTTTTAAAGAGGAAGTTAGGTAAAATATTTTCAAAAGCCAGTACAATACATAGAAGACCATTGTATGACATGTCTAGTGTATTTGGTCCTTGGGATCACTGTACTCAATCATTTGCGCATATAAAATTCAACAAATGATGCGATAAATGCTAAAGATCATTATGATAGATGAGATGGATGGTTTTCATGTTGTATTCGTTTAACCATGAACAGATATCACCAAGGTCTGATTAGATGGAAGAAATGAGGAAATAAAATGCTTTAGCAAATTCAAGCAAAAGAAAAAAATTAGCACCACCCAAAACCTGAGGAAGGGTGAATTGAAAAACTCACATCCAAATATTTTGCCTGTACTGTAATGTATTGATTTCATGAGTTTCAGAAAACATTAGTCTAAAGAAAAGGCATTTATTATCCACCACGGTGAACCTAGTGGTGAAGTGTATGGATGACACAGTATTCATCTGTCCAAAGGGAGATGGGTGATAATTTTTAACTTGCAAATTTCCTATTCTATTTCAATGAAAGGGAAGGGTATCTACAAAAATTGAAAAGCCAAGTATCAGTGCATAAAAAATAAATAGAATACCTTTTGTCCCCATATTTCAGCTTTATGAAATTGGGTTGGATATATATGCTAAGAGAAATATACATTTTACTGTACCCACAAAAAACTGGGCACAGTAGATGCAGAATATAAAAGTAAGTCAAGAATTGACCTTTAACAGTTGTATATAGCTTGGAGTGTAGTTAAGTCTCAGTGTCATTCAGAGTGCAGATCTCCCCCTTAGCCATGTATTAACTGCGTGGAAATTAAGTTTATAAACACTTGTATACAACACAGTGTGTTCCACTTAAGACAGTTCATATAGAAATTTCACCCACAGAGGTGGCCTTTCCCTCCATTTTCCACGGTGTGAAAAACTGTCCCCTAAAATTGTTGGATGTGTCATTTCAGTGATCAAGGGAGGACCCCTGGAAGATAACTATCGATTGAAGCAGTTCCATTTTCACTGGGGGGCCATTGATGCCTGGGGCTCTGAGCATACTGTGGACAGCAAATGTTACCCGGCAGAGGTATGTTGAGAAGCTCGGGAACAGTGACAACTGCGGAGGAGTGGGGATAGTTCTGAGTTTCTAGTTTGAAGAAATTATCAGGAAGAATCAAGTGATTCCTATAAATCTAAATAGCTCTCTCAGGGGCATATTAGATAGATTATTCCCAATTATTACATGTAAAATGATAACTGCCCTCATCTCAAATAATATAGCTTAAGTCAACCTTAAGATTACAAAATGGACTTCTTTCAGAATTCTAAGCTAAGTTCAAATCATAGGCTAAAGTAAAAACCTAGGCAACAGTGCAGGACCACCACATCTAATTAATCCAAGTGAGAGATGGTGGGAACCGAAATGAAGAAATAGACATAAAGAGTGAGATTTAGCAAGCATTTCTAACCTGAGAGCAACAGCACTTGAGGCGGGGTCCTCTTTAGGAAAGGAGAGGAGAGGAAAGGAAGGTAAGCATGTCCTTGAGGGTCTTACTTGGGAGGCTGGATAATGAAACATTCATGAATGATGGATGAGGAATAATTTGTAGTGAAATATAGGGAACACATAAGCACATAGAATTTCTTCTAACAATTTCCCCCCTAATTTAGTTTTGTGTTAGCTTTAAAAGAAACATTTTAACCGGTTCTCACTCAAAGAAATGTGTCTTCAACTCCTATCTAATTCCGTAGGGAGAATCTATTTCTCTCAAGATAAGCATCTCTCCTTTATATGCAAATGGATTTGGGATATGAGTGTTTCATGCACACCAGGGTGAGAATGGACAAATGTTGTTCCCTCACTGAAATGTTACTCACTCTGCTATATATATTTTCTTTTCCAAATGTCTTCCAAATTAATATCTGCTGCTGCATACATTTCTTCTTGTTCTTTATTTTGATTTCGTATGCTTTTCCCAGTGGCTTTATTATGGGTGAGGAAACATGTTAATGTCGAATAAGGCTATTTTTGGTCGATCCTGAGTGGTCATGTGTCAAACCATCTTTTAATGGCATTTCAGCTGCACCTGGTGCATTGGAATTCAGTCAAATTTGAAAACTTTGAGGATGCAGCACTGGAAGAAAATGGTTTAGCTGTGATAGGAGTATTTTTAAAGGTAAGAAAAAGTTACTAACTTTAATTGATGTGTATTATTCTAGGATGAAAAGACAGAATATTGCATGACTAAGTTCTAAGAATATTGGGATAAAAATAAACAATGGTTAAAATACCAGATTATTATGAATATATTTTAAATGGTGTAAAAATGCACGGTCCAATAGAGTAGTCACAAGCCACATGTGGCAACTGAGCACTTGAAATGTGGTTACTTTGTGGAACGGTTTTTAATTTTAATGAATTTAAATTTCAGACCTTATAGTTAAATGGAGGGGCACCTTTCCCTGCAGGCATGCTGATCTTATCAGCAAACAGCTTGCTCTTTTGTTCTGTTCTAATTTAATTCAGTGATATTTATAATATTCTAAATTACCAGTTTAAGTATAGTTTAAGTAGTGTGGTTTGTTTTTATGTAATCACCAGGTGGTTAATTTTAATTCACATTCTGTTGTAATTTCAAAAGTGAGATGTCAATTGTTTTTAATATTTGCTCATTGCTTTTTCTTTAGCTAGGGAAAAATCATAAAGAGCTACAAAAATTGGTGGATACATTGCCATCAATTAAACATAAGGTAATTTTTTTTTTCAAAAGCACTTGCAATATATTGTATGTTTAAGTCTCAGAGTGGAAATACTAACAAAGCCCTTTGAATTGGGAAATGGAATTAACTTCAGTGTAATTCAGGTTATCTTTGAAAGTTTCCTAGACAACAATTTGGCTTTTGGTGCTTGTATGTTGAGAGCACCCCTGGCCCTCAGGGTACAGCAGGGATTTCTTTGGTGGGCACTGGCTGCCATGCCCTGAGCATTCAAGGACTTGGGAACATAATAGGTCCCCTCTTCTGCTCCCGACACCTGCTCCCTCTCAGTCCTTGTGGACACACGTAGAGCAGCCTTCTTGACTCTAGCTACCCTCCCTCAGGCAGGAAGCAGAGAAAAGTTGGACAGAAACTTGGCTTGTCCACCTCTAAATAACAATTACCCATATCCTTCAGGACGGATACCTTTGTCCAGCCCCAAGATCAGTTGTTCAATATTCAGAATCCCAAAGGGGGCTGCTCCCTGGAAGTCCATATGTTGCTCTCTTTCTCTTTCCTTCCCCATCTCCCCCTCTTTCCTTCCTTCTTCTTTCCCACTCCCTTTTGAGTCTAGGATCCTAGCTCCTCCTAATTTGCACTGCATTTTAGAAAGGAGGATGCTATTAGTCTCTTGAAAAAGGAAGCCTCCTTATTTGTGCACCAGCCACCACCTCATGCCCCCCAAGAATTCAGAGGAGACCACCTGCTGGAAACTCACTAGAATGGAGGGGGAAAATGGGTTCTGCTGTGTTCCCACTGAGGAGTGTCAGAAATACAGAGTTAATTGCAGGCATGGGCGTGTGTGATTCTGTCCAGAGGACCTAAGGAGCTCCTCTGGACACGGCTGGTCCCCAGACACTCCTAGAGTTGTTGCCTTGTCATCTGATTCCTGAGTGGTTGTCATCACCATGAAATGATAGTTTGGTGACCCTTTCTCTTGGCCAGGATACCATAGTGGAATTTGGGTCATTCGACCCTTCCTGCCTGATGCCCACCTGCCCGGACTACTGGACCTACTCAGGATCCCTGACTACCCCACCACTCTCCGAGTCCGTCACCTGGATCATTAAGAAGCAGCCTGTAGAGGTTGATCATGATCAGGTACATTCTTTCCATGTTTCTGTATAAGGAAATTCTAGTTTTCCTCTTCAAAACAAGCCTGGGCTCAAACTTTGGGATCAGTTTTTAACTTATAATGCTCATACATTTTTATTAAAATGTGCTAACTTCTTGTCTAATTTGGGTATGAATTAGGAAATGTGTCAAATTAACCAGAAAGAGAAGTTAAAACTTAGGAAACAGCCTGGCCAGTGTGGCTCATTAGTTGAGTGTCAACCTATGAACCCAGAGGTCACTGGTTCAATTCCCAATCAGGGCACATGCCCAGGCTGTAGGCTCAATCCCCAAAGGAGGGCATGCAGGAGGCAGCCAATTAATGATTCTCTCTCATCATTGTTGTTTCTCCCTCTCTCTCCCTCTCCCCTCCTCTATGAAATCAATAAAAATATATTAAAAGAAAGAAAAGAGAACATCTTAAACAAACAAATAAAAGGGTAACTTCTGGGTCTTTAGAGCTTCTCTGTGTCTGCACTTTAATAAAAATAATCAGCTCAAAATAATCCTTCTGCCAAAGGCATATTTTGGGGTCACAAATTCTGCTCCCCTTTATCTCCAAATGGGGAAAGCTTTTCTAACTATGTATCAAAACCAGAATTCGTAAAGAAAGCAACTAGTGAATTAGACTGTGTATTTTTTTTAATTCTGTGTGACGAAATCCATTATAAACAAATGGCAAAATACAGATCTTGCCTGCCCATAAGCCTGGGCTTGGTTGCCTATACATTTAATCTGCTACTATCCTTCATATGTAAAAATTGACATGACACTGAAAAATAAGTAAATAAAATAAATAAACCATAGGTCAGTGTCCTATATGGAAGACTTTGGAAATAAAATTTCAACAGAAAAAAAAAAAAAGATAGACCTGTCATCTATAATCCTAGTCACCTACAATCTAACCACTCAGTGTTAATCATTGTTTGGGTAAATCCTTCTGGTTTATCTGTATAAATATATGTAGTTTTTTAAACAAAATGGAATCATTCTGTATGAACCATTTTGCTGCTCTTTTCACTCATTGATGTGTGGAATACTTTGTAGATAATAAACATTATCTTCAGTATTATTTTTAATGGCTATGTACCAATCCACTTTATAGATCTAATGGTTTTTGGGCTATTCCTAATCTTTGCAATTTGTGAAGAAAAAAAAAAACACCCAAAACCCAGAACAACCTTAGTTGCTTAGACACATTCCTATTTAATGAGGGTATGATGATGTAATTTGTAAGTAGGGGAATTTTTTGGTGCTTGCCTCTGGTCCCAATCCCGCCTCTGTAGCTCTACTGTGCCTCAGGTTGTCCTTCAAGCTGTATTGCACCTGACTGAATAATGAGAAAGGTTGTGAATAGGTTTTCCGGCTGGCTTGAAGTTGAGTGTCCACCCCATAGTTGCCCAGAAAGGCAAGGTGCTACTGATTAATGCTATTGCCACATTAATGAGCCCTTGATTTGGGGTTGCTCCTTTTGTACTGAGCTGCTGTGTCTAATACATCAGCCACTAGCCCGATGTGGTCATTTAAATTTAAATATAAATACATTAAAATAAAGATTAAATTAAAACATCACTTCCTTGGTCACACTGGCCACCGTTCAAGCGCTCAGAAGCTATCTATGGTTTGTGTCTACCCTAATGAACTGCAGAGGACCTTGCCATAGTTTAAGAAAGTTCTTTTGGACAGTGTCAGCAAGGTGCATCCCAGTGTCCAGGTGCGGTAAGCAATCAAGGATACATTGTGTTAACAATTCAGTTAAAATTTGAAAAGAAAAAAAAAAAACCACCAAAAAAACACCCCACAAAAACATTTTTGGTGCTGTTACTTTATGTACCAGGCCTTTCCTTTTTCATTCAGTGAGCTGCTGTTTTAACTATTTCAAGACGGGGTTCCTGGAATCAAAGATGAAGTGACTTGTTCTTGGCAAATGGCCAATATGTGGGGGACAGGGCCTTTGACCCGTAGTCCTTGGGTTCCAAGTGCCCGGTTGGTTTCCTCCCTGTCCAGTGCTGAAGGCATTCCTACCCAGAATAAGTTCTGCTGTGTCCAATTTTAGAGAAATGTTTCAGAGTCGTAAAAATGAAAGTAATTTATTAATGCAGTGAAGCTGTTTTTCCATTGCAATTATTTATGCTTCCTGTTTCTATTTCTAGCTTGAGCAATTTCGGACCCTGCTTTTCACTTCCGAGGGGGAGAAAGAAAAAAGAATGGTGGACAACTTCCGCCCCCTGCAGCCCCTCATGAATCGCACTGTCCGCTCATCCTTCCGTCATGATTATATCCTCAATATACAAGCAAAATCCAAGCCTTCGACCAGCCAAGCTAGCCCCTAAGACGCCCATATGTAGGTGGTGTTTTGCTTTAATACATAATAGGTTTTTAAAAACTGTTAACTAAGACTATTCTAAACACCTAATACTAATTATAGAGGTGCATTTCTTGGTATGGTAGTGCTCCTTCAGTCTTTTATTGATAATGATGTTAACACTGAAGTAGCAACAAGAAACACAAGTTTCTCTTAAAGCAACCTGTTGGTTTTTATAATGTCTTTTAATGTCTGACATTTTTTGAGCTGTCTTTTTATATTATCAGTTAGTGGTTATATAAGTAGGGATGACAATCAAAATATTTAACCACTGGTAAGGCACAAACTGGTACTTTCTGGCTGAACATTGGTCATGATTTTAGGTACATTTTATTTTAAAACATGGATGAATTTTCTTTTATAAGGCCTTCTCAGTGAGCATATTTGCTCTGATCTTTAGTTATCTTACTAGTAGATGATATGTTTGCTTACTTACTATCAACTTATGATACAGAAAAAAATATTATGTAATCCTAGGAAAACAAAGATTTACTGATACCTGAAAATATTTTTGCATTTCTGAAGATCAGATATTTTACTTAAAGGCCTGATCATATAAAAAGCATATACAGTGTAGAAAATTTTAAAGAAAATGCTTGAAGTGCCTGGAACTTACAATTCTTTCATGACATAGTTATGGAAGTATTTTTCAAATGATTAGTAATATATAGTTTATAATATTATTTTGCATTATTTGTACACTGTTTCATAGACAAAACAGTCTTAGCTTCCCTTTAAAACTGCCTGAACTTTATTTCCTTAGTTGATGTTCTAGGCAAGACAGGTGATCAAAATAAGTCTCCCAGTTTATACAGTGGCTTAGAAAACTTTTGCTACAGTAAGAGGGGGAGAAACTTGTCAGAATGGCTGAAATCTAGGTAATTCTACATATTCCATGGAATCCATGCCACTGTTGCCCCTGCTTGTAAATATCTTGGAATGTTTCTAATGGCCAATAAGCCTGTGTTCAGACTCCATATTGCATTAATTAGTAGTATTTCTTTCATGAATATGTTAATCTGGTCTGCAAGATAGAGTTGGATAAATATACTTAACACTACTAGACCATACACTGAAAAAAGTTAAGATGATAAGTTTTATGCTATGTGTATTATTAATTAAAAATAAATAATTCGGTAGGAAGAAAAGATAGAATTGAAGTTGTATATGTAAACTTCGGGGGATATATCTGCCCTAAAGAAGGTTGGAAGGGGGAGTGAAGGCATTTGCTTCTAGGGCGGATGCCTTTTCTGGGAAAGGAAAGCAAGTATACCTTGGAAAATGAATATAATTCTTAAAAAGATAAATTTGGGGGGGAAAGTTTACCTCAATTGATCTGTTTCAAACCATAGTTGTCTTTGAAAGGGTAAACACATAAGATATACATTATTCCTCTCACACAAGCTTCCCTCCTAGGCCTCTTGCAAACTCTCATTGCAAAATTCTATTGCTATGAGTGTTCCAAATTGGAGCCAGAAGCAATGTACAGAACACCCGCTTACCCTTATATCTTAGAGATACAAAGGGTGTACAGTTGACCCTTGAACTGCATTTGAAATGCGTGGGTCCACTTACACGAAATTTTTTTTCAATAAATATGCACAGTACTGGAAATATTTTCTCTTCCTTATGATTTCCTTAACATTTTCTTTTCTCTCGCTTACTGTATTGTAAGAATGCAGTACATAATATACAAAATATGTATTAATCAATGGTTTATTATCAGCTAGGCTTCTAGTCAACAGTAGGCTATTAGTAGTTAAGTTTTGGGGGAGTCAAAAGTTATATACATATTTTTGACCGTTCAAGGATGTCAGTGCTCCAAGCCCTGCATTGTTGAAGGGTTAACTGTACAGGGTGGGGCAAGAGTAGATTTATAGTTGTTTGTATGGAAAATAATACAATAATTAATAAATTAAAATACAAGAATAAACTCAGTGTTTTGCATACTCACAACTGTAAACCTACTTTTGCCCCGCCCTGTATTTCTAGGGTGTTTCTCAGTTTATAACTCCTGATTTACTTACACCTCATGTTCTGGTGTAATTTATAACAGAACCCTCTTCACTCTTAGCCATGTCCTGTATGTATGTCTGCATAATACATTTTTGGTCACCTTCCCTGCGGAGGTTATGGAAACTGCCTTGGGGTGTGGTTTCATGCATGCCTTAGTTATCTGCCCCCAAAAGGGATAATAGAGATTCCCTGGCTACTGAGACACCCTAGCAGGAAACATTTTATGTCTTCATGTCTCCAAAAGTGTTTTACTGCTACCTTCCTAGACCTGAAGGGGATAAGATCTGTCAAAGGGCTTGAGAAAGAATTTTGTATTTAAATTGCTGCTCATCTTCATTAAGTAATGCTAGATTAATAAAACCATCTTTATAATATTAGTATTTGTTGAACGAGCTTTTCTTCCTATTAGTTGTTTTGAGTATGGAACATGTGTGTAAAATTTGCGAGATATCCTAACATGTAGATCAGAAAGTGAATGGAAAACTCATAAGGATTTTACTAGAGAAGCCAGAATGGAAAGAAATACCTGCTCCCCCTCAGCTCACCTCTTTTTATGAAACCAGGGCATGATCTGCTGACATCACCAATAGGGCAAGCTGCCAGCCCCTTTCTCCTTTCCCAGTGCTACATGGGTTAGCAGTGGTCGGCAAACTGCGGCTCGCGAGCCACATGAGGCTCTTTGGCCCCTAGAGTGTGGCTCTTCCACAAAAGACCGACTTCTGCGCATGGGCCACGAAGTTTCAATCACACTGTACATGCGCGCCCGCACGTCGTATTTTGTGGAAGAGCCACACTCAAGGGGCCAAAGAGCCGCATGTGGCTCGCGAGCCGCAGTTTGCCGACCACTTGACCGTTAGGGTAATGTTGGCTATTCTAAAACCAGGCATCCACCTCAAAAAAGTTTAGGAAGATGTGTTTCTGGGGGACATGATATTAGCAAAAATACAGTATTGAAATTGCTTTAGGTATTTTTGTCACTAGAAGAAACACATTATTTACTTGATATTTATTTAACTTAATGTTGTATTGTATTTTTAATTCAACTTGGTTAGTTAAGTTGTTTCATATAAAATGTTATTGATCAAAGTGGGTAGTTCATTTAAGTGAATAAGCTCTAATTTTACCATATAATTAGTACATATAAACAATACCAGCTACTTTACAGATAAATAGTAACGCATTCTTGTGTTTATGGACTGAGTGTTTATGCCCCCGCCCTCTCCCATCCAAGATTCATATGTTGAAATCCTAACCCTCAAAGTGATGGTATTAATAAGTAGAGCCTTTGGGAGGTGATTATATCATGAGGCCGGAATCCTCATGATGAGGTTAGTGCCCTTACAAAGGAGTCCCCAGAGAACTTTCTCACTCCTTCCACCATGTGAGGACACATGGAGAATATGGTCATCTATGAATCAATAAGGAGGTACTTAGCAGACACCAAATTTATTGGCACCTTGATCTTATCCTCCCAGCCTCTAGACTGTAAGAAATAAATTGTGGTGATTTATCAGCCATCCAGTCTCTGGTACAGTGGGGCCTTGAGTTACGAGTGTCCCGACTAACAAGCTTTTCCGAGATACGAGCCGTCTCTCGGCCGATTTTTTGCTTTGAGTTGACAGAGTAATTTGAGTTAACAAGCTCCTTAACGAGCTCCGTCACGGAACAAATTAAACTCGTAAGTTAAGGCCCCACTGTATATTGTTACAGCAGCCAGAACTGACTAAGATATTGTCAGTATATGTACATTTTTATTACTGTTTTTTTTTTTAATTCAACCAGTCTTCAGAAATGGTACTTTTGTTTGGGTTCTAGGTGGGGAGATCAATTCTGCCACCATTCATTCTCAAACCACCTGAAGTTGTGTTGCTTTGACCTTATCACTAGACAAGACTCAAATAACAACTATCATTGTATAGTTCTCTCCTCCAAAGAAAACTTTTAATCAGTTTTTACAAATTAGCTTTTTTCATATTAATATGCATTCATAAGTACTTTATCTTGCCATTTTAAGTTATAACTGTAATCTGGAATATATATATATATATATATATATATATATATATATATATATACATATCCATCCATCCCTCGGCATAGCAGTGAGGGTTGCAGAGACTTGAGACCCTGTTGTATGTCCTTGGACAAATTTAATACTGAAATAGTAGGTAAAGAATGAAATTTTCTGCCCAGCCAGTATTGCTCAGTGGTTGAGCATCAACCCATGAACCAAGAAGTCCCCAGCTCAATTCCCGGTCAGTCAGGGAACATACCCAGGTTTCAGGCTCAATCTCCAGTTGGGAGTGTGCAGGAGTCAGTAGTCTCATTGATGTTTCTATCTCTATATCCCTCTCCCTCTCTCTTTAAAAATCAATAAAAAAATGTTTTATAAAAAAATGAAATTTTCTTTCCTGAGGGTTTCTGCATTGACCATTGAGTGAATCCTAATACCATTGTCCTACTAGAGCAAGAAAAAAAAAACTAATTGAAAGAGTCCAAACTTGACATTCAGAGTAGACATTTTTTTAAAAAAATATATTTTATTGATTTTTTACAGAGAGGAAGGGAGAGAGATAGAGAGTCAGAAACATCGATGAGAGAGAAACATCGATCAGCTGCCTCCTGCACATCCCCCACTGGGGAAGTGCCCGCAACCCAGGTACATGCCCCTGACCGGAATCGAACCCGGGACCTTTCAGTCCACAGGCCGACGCTCTATCCACTGAGCCAAACCGGTTTCGGCGAGTAGACATTTTTTAAAAATCATTTTATGCTTGCAGTAAATAAAAAATATACTTATGGGCTATCCTTTGGTCTCTTTATATTAACTAAGACATTTAATAATAGCATTATCTACTACATGATTTATATAAGTAAAATATTTTTTAGATAATCAGCTATTTTCTACTGACAACATAAAATAAAAATTTAGGCATTTTCCCATAGAAGACACATAAACTGAAATATACTTACTTGAGAATAAGTAGATATATTTTAGTCACCAAGGAAAATAGGAAATGTATGTTATATTGCAGAGTAAAGATAACCTTGTTTTATTTATTGGAATATCAAAGCAGAATGTATCTTTGCATTAAATGTTTACATACCTTATTTTTATCTTATGATTTATCCATTTAAATCAGTGGTTCTCAACCTTCCTAATGCCGCGACCTTTTAATACAGTTCCTCATGTGGTGGTGACCCCCAACCATAAAATTATTTTCGTGGCTACTTCATAACTGTAATTTTGCTACTGTTATGAACTGTAATGTAAATATCTGATATGCAGGATGTATTTTCATTGTTACAAATTGAACATAATTAAAGCATAGTGATTAATCACAAAAACAATATGCAATTATGTATGTGTTTTCCGATGGTCTTAGGCGACCCCTGTGAAAGGGTCGTTCGACCCCCAAAGGGGTCGCGACCCATAGGTTGAGAACCGCTGATTTAAATGATGGTAACTATAATTTGGAAATGACTTTTAAAATTAGGAGTATCTTCCTAGAAGACATTCCTTCTTGTTATTATGTGAAAGTCTAGTGCAATTTATAAGAAATGTTACAGCAACCCGAACACTGATGCTTTCAGTATGGCAGTAATTCTCAGCATAAGTCCTGGTCACAGGAAATAGAAAAATGGTGATTTGCATAGGTACATTCTGCATCACTCAGGGCAGTCTCTAGTTTCAGAATATAACTGCCAAGTCTCTACCTTCAAGGAATTAAAGATTCAGTGCAAGAAGCAGACTTGTGAAAGCAACAAAGTGCAATATGTTGTGATAGGTGTTACGAAAGGAGAAATATCTACGCTTGGAGCGCAAATACCTAACCCACTTTTGAGGGGGTGGAGAAGTTTTCGCACCGGTGATGATATGGCAGCTATTGCCAGGCACCATGCCAATACGTAGCATACGTTTGAAAACTATTGTTACTATCTCGATTTTTACAGATAAACTGAGGACTAGACATTAAGGAATTTACTCAAGATCAGAGAGCCAAGGCTTGAGTTTCCTAGTCCATCCAACTCCAAAGCCTCTAATTACTGATGCACTGAACCGGACAAGATCAACTTGGAGGTGTGTTACTCCAAGTGTCTAAGAGGGAGTAGGACAGGATTTATGTAGAGTTTGTGCTTTCGTTGAATGATTCCAAGGAGGAACTAGGGGAAGCCGGGGCAGTTTAGTAATCGGCTAGCTCAGTAATTTTGATTTGGAGGCCAGAGGTACAAAGCTAGACCAGGGAGTTAAGTTCACCTCTGCAGCCCGCAGATGTGAATGGAAAGGGGTGAGTCTGGAGCTTGGTCTGAGGCGCTGATTGGTGGAGTCTCGGCAGGAGGCGCAGCCCGGGAAGTCGGACTGGGAAGCAAGGCGAGCTGGGGGCGGGGGGAGGATGAGGAGAAAAGAGGAAGAAGTGTCACTTTAACCTCATGGCCACAAGCCATTCCACTATGGTGTCGAGAGCGGTAGGAGGGAAGAGATCCTTGCAGGCCGGCATAGCGATTCTCGAGAAGGAGACATTTATTTGTGCAGGGTTTCGGAAGACGCGCCAGCGACGGCAACCTCCCGTTTTCTATGTTGGGTGCGTCTGGGCGGAGGCACGCCCGCGCTCCGGAGCGACCGCCGGGCACGTGGTTCCGTCCGCAGCTGCGCAGCTGCGCGCTCCCCGGAGCCCGCCTTTCCGGGCAGGCTCTTGTGGGCGTGGCGGCGCCGGCAACATGGCGGCGCCCCAGGCGGTGATGCTTCCGGACAAACTAAGGTAAGTTGTGCTGAGGGAGGTGAGCTGGTTAGAAGAGGGGACGGAGCGGGCCGAGCCTGGCATGGAGGGTGTGCAAGCAGGAAGGAAAGGGGAGGTAGCCGGCGGCCGCGGCGGCTCGAGCCCTCCCGGGACGCTCTCCTGTCCCGGATGTCGGTGGGCTCTCGGTGGGCTCCGGGAGGTGAGCAGGAGAGCAGGTGGCGGGATGAGAACACCTGCCGTCTGGGCGGGAAAGGGCGAGGGATGGCAAATGCATGTTCTGTAAATAAAGCACGGGAAGCAAGATTTCACTCCCGAGCGGCCGAGGGATTTCCTGTCACTGGGCGCCGAGGAGAGCGGAGCCCAGGCAGGCAGCGCCTCAGGTGCGGCCACTGACGCCGAGTGTGCTTGTCTGCTTTTCGCAGCCACAAAAAGTACAGGGCCGCCCTGAAGAAGGAGAAACGGAAGAAACGCCGTCAGGAACTCGCTCGATTGAGAGACTCAGGTAACTGGCCTCTTACTCCGTTTTCTGTGTATGAATGAAGTTGCTCTCCCACTGCCCTCTTAACTTGCCCCTGTCAGAAGGATGCTGAGAATTGTATCTGGTAGGAATTGCTGGGGCTCCTGCTTCCCAAGTCAAG